AACCAATTTATCACTTGTGTTGTAAAAATGGTGACAACTAGACTGAATCTATGAGCCCACGCTGAAAACTCAGCTACAACTAAACTTGGCTATATCTGACAGATTTGGAACCAACACATGTTAGATATTCTGCTTGTATTATTATTAGTTTTCTTGAATACTATATGAAATAATTATTTCCAGGAAATGGAAAACCATTTGTTATCACATTGGCAGTTAAGACGACTTTGTGTCCACTGCCCTATGGGCATTTGAGTCAAAGAAAATAACCTACTACTATGAAGAAATAATAATAATAATAATAATAAATCGTCTTTATTTAGGGGGCGAAGTTTAGCATAATGCTACTCTGCCACTTAACACCCCCCCAAAAAAAACTGAAAAAACAATACAAAAAACATAAATACATTGGATAAGTTAGAAGATTACAAATGTAGGTGTATAGAAAATATGGTATATGACATATATAATTGCAGGCTATCCAATATTTCATGATTTAAAAGTATAAAATTGTAACAGTCATACAAAACAAAGGAATGCTGTATTGGAAATATTTTTGTGTGGGGTGACAGATAAATTTTATCAACTAATTTATATACTTCTATTCAAAATGAATTTCTTCATATGTCTTTTAAATTCATCATATGATAGCAATTTTGTGGATCGAGGTAGAGCATTGTAAAAAATAATTGCGTTGTAGGTGAAGCATTTACGAAAGAATGATGTTTTGTGGAGGGACGGCAGTGAATCGAATGTCCCTAGAATGGATATTGCTTCTAGATATCAGCTTATTTCTCAAAAACGGCGGAATGGATGACAGTAAAAACCTGTAGGTGTAAGTAACTAGGTGTAGCTCACACAGTTCATTTACTCTCAACCACTTCATGTCATTGAAAAAAGGGCTGATATGATCATATTTTTTCAAATTATTGATCAACCTACAACATGAGTTTTGGATTTTATGGAGACGTGCTAGAGATATTGAGTCAATAAATGGAAGATAAACTAAATCGAAATAACTAATTTTGGACATTACCAAAGATTCACACAACATTTTTTTAGTTGTAAAGTCAAGAAATCGTTTATTAAGATATAATTGACGTAAAATTGAAAAACAACTCTTCGTGATATTATTTACATGTGGGATAAAATTTAGACATTCATCATTCAAGTTACGCCCAAGTTTTTTACTGACTCACTTACTTCTATAGTCTCACCATTTAATTTTACTTTAAAATTTCTTTTGACATGAATGTCGTGATTATGGAACTGACTGTAGATCTGTGAATCGTCGGCAAATAATTGGATATTACAATATTTAACAACTGAATGGAGATCAAAAATATACAAAATGAATAGGAGTGGCCCAAGTACAGACCCTTGAGGCACTCCGGAGGAAATGAGTCAGTTTGAAGAACCATGTCAATGTGTACCCTTTGATATCGATTTTCTAAGAAGCTCTGAATCATTTTTGAGGCAGAGTCAGAAAAACCAAAATATTTGCACTTGGCTACTAGAAGACGATGATTTATGGTATCGAATGCCTTAGAGAAGTCAAGAAGGACTAATGATGTGATCATATGTTGATCCTAGGCTCTAACAATGTTATCGGTTAAGTCTAATAGGGCACCTGGAGTGTTATATCCTTTTCGATAACCGCATTGTTTGGGAGGCAAATTGTATGTTTAGAGAGATAATCGTAAATTTGGGCGTACATTGCTTTTTCTAATAATTTGGACAAAACAGGTAAAATACTAATTGGTCTTAAATCAGAATATAATTTTGGCTTACTTATTTTAGCTAGAGGTAACACTCTAATGCTTCTTTCCATGATTCTGGGAAGAATCCCCTTTCTAAACAGGTATCTATGATGTGTAAAATGTGACCTGAAATCGCAAAGAAGCATAGTTTTAGAATTTTGAGTGAGGCATTCGATTTCAGAGACTGGAACATCGATTTTGAATCAGTCATATCGACTGGTTTAAACTTGAATCGATCACTAGAATAGTGATTCTTTTCATAATGCTCAATCTTCTCTGTGCATGAACAAATGGCGTTATTAAAAATGGAACAGAAATAATTATTAATGTCAGTAGGGTTCTTTAAATGTAGAGGAATATCGGTATTTTGTGACTGTTGGATACGCATTGATTTTAGGGATCTATAAAACCTTTTGAATCATCTTGTTGACGGAGGGATAATAAATATGTTGCCTTTTCATATCTAATTTGACTCAAAGTTGAATTTCTGAGCTCTTTGTTCCAGGAATCTTCTGTCTTATTAATTTTAAACTGATTTAAAGCACTGTCTCTGTCTTTCATCACACGTTTAAGCTGGGATGATAGCCAGGGTGCATGCGGTTTCTTTACACATACAATTCTTAGAGGTGCATGCCTATCAAAAATTAATTTTAGCCCATCTATCAAATATGAAATTTTTTGATCAATACTCTCTACGGAATATACGTATATAATGCTCCAGGAAAAGTTTAAAATATCATTTTCAAATGATAAAATATCAAAATTTTTAAAGTCGCTGAATTTAACGCATTTTTGCTTAGGTTTTTTAGACTGCAAAGTTGTTTCACAAAATACTAAAAAATGATCAGTAAATAAATCCATATTTATAGTCCCAGAATTTGAACAGACTTGAAGATCATTGATAAATATGGAATCCAGTAGGCTGCTCGAAGTACTAGTTCTTCTAGAGGGTTCTATAATAACTTGATGGAATCCATACGCATTAAAACAATTTTCTAATTTGTTGTCTGAACTTAAAAGATTTATATTCATATCTCCAACAACTACAAAATAATCAAAGTTGGGTTCCAGAAAAGAGAGAGCATTACCAAAAAAATCAATGGCTTCAACAACATTGCTGTGGGGAGGTCGGTAAATTAGGCAAGAGTTTGACCACATAAATGGACGGGAGTATATTTGAAGAAACGCTCCCAAAGATTGACGACAACGCCTTCATTGTACTTGATAATGCTGCATACCACACTGGAAAACTAGAAAAAATGCCCACAATGTCAACAAGAAAGACGGAAATTCATCAATATGAACCCCCTGATCACTGAGAATTGGAGTGACGGCAAACCATTGGAAAGATTGCATCCGTCACGTCTAAGAGACAATCGAAACAAAGATGTGGGATCTGGACAATATGATCGACATTCAAATTGAACCTGTAATAATTAATATTAACCATTCGGACGATGATTCAAGTACTTTGAGCGAATAAGGAATTGTGAAAAGGATTTCTATAAAATAATCATTTATTTTGCTAGATTATTCCACCAAGACCATTGAGGGAAATACGGACCTGTATAATCTCGCTTTTTGGCATATTGTATTTTGTCTGGGCGTAAATGGACTACGAATGGGGTATAGACAAATGCTTAGCAAATCAAAATGACTCAATGTGAAAAAGTATATCAAATACCTTGCAATGAGTTTCATTTATAAAGTACTACTATATATGTCTAAATAGTGCCTCCTGATACTAACCCAAACCCTAACAATTCATTATTTTCCTGTCAGAGCGGTCCACACGAATATTACGTAGCTTGAAAAGTGATATTTTCTAGTTTTTTGACATTTTGTAGGTTTTTTGTGACATAACGTAGGTTGTTCTACAAGATGTCAACTTAGCACAAGCTGTTATACATTTGTTTTGAGCTCGTTTTGTAGATGTACGTGTTGCCTGAATATCAGGATACTTCAGCTATCGATGTTTGGCTCTGATGGGATGTAACATCTGCTTCAGAGGTGGCATTACTGGAGGTCTAAGCTGTAAGTTGTTTTACTGTAGCTGGAAGGAAACGGCAGTGCATAGCTGCATAGTGAGTATTTGTGGGGTAATAATCTGCGTTGATGATAAGTCCATTGGTTTCTTGTCTTAGGCCCGTATCGTCAGTTGTCCCTACAATTGTAGGGCGCCTTCATGGCCTCCTTGATTGTCATAGTTTTCTACTTCTCCGTGTCAGCGCTCTATTTTGAGGTTATGTCACAAACATCTATTTGCATCAAATTCTGCTTGCTTTTGAGTTATATTATGTTTTATCAGCTTGAAATTTCCTACAATTTAAAAAGAAAACATATCTTCACAATAGGAGAGCGCTGACGCTAACACGGGACAAGTGTAATCTAGATATTTTTGAAGGAGAGAAAGGAGTATGACAATCAAGGAGGCCATAAACGCGCCCTACAATTGCAGGGTCGACTGACGATACGGGCCTTAAATACACTTACTTGAGATGTATTCAAAGCTAGAAATTAGTTGCGCATCCACTTTTCCTATTCATTCTAGAAATGACATATGCAAAATTGCTGAATTTAAAAAATGAGAGAGATAACGAAAAGAAAAACCATGGTTAGTGAAGTATATTACCAGTAAGAGGTCAGAAAATATGCTACAGATAGGAAGGCGTCTTGTACGCGGCACGATTTCTTAACCGTACGTCGTGTTAACCGTACGGTTAATAAAACGTGCAAGCTTGTATATGACAGAGCAAAGCTACCGGTCTAGACAATGGCCAGGGGACCAGGCTCAGTTGAGATTTTTCTGCGGCAAGCTTCAGACGACCTCGCCATGAATCCTCATAAGAAAAAGATGATCCTTGCATACTATGTATATAGAAAATTAAAAAAGAAGTGAAAAGAAAAAGAAGGCCTTGGATACATCCAATTTTATAAAAACGGGAGAAATTTGGCGCATTTCATACACTTGTCAAAAATCAACTTAGAGAAGTTTTACGATTATATAAGAATGCAGAAAACGATATTCGAGAAATTGCTCCAAAAATTATCCCAGAAATTGAAACACCAAGACACCAATATACGACAAAGTATATCGTCCGCAGAAAGATTGGCTATAACCTTGAGGTAAGTACAAAATCAAATTACATACTTTTGTTTAAATTTGTTTATTTACATTAATCATTTATCGCATAAAAATTATTTACTAATTGCATATGTCAAAAAAAAACAAAGCCCAAGCTAAATATGCTCTTGAAATGCAGAACTGAAATCAAATTCTTCTTCATTAGTAGCTTGAGAATTTGCAGAGGTACTTTCTGCATTCACACTGTGCACAGTTGCTTGCGGTCGGTTAGGGATTGGCTCCAAGCCAGAACGATGTCCGAAATCATATTCCTGACGACGGATCTCAAAGCTTGATCGAGGAGCTGTAGAATACCCATACATTGATAATTGTGAACTGGCCGGTACTGTGCCACTTTAATATCCTTGAGGGCCACGATTCCATTGGTTTCTAGGTGTAGGTATATATCGGTTTTGCTCTCTTTGTTGAATGTTCTTAATCACTGAAATGACTTGAAACTGAAAGTCTATCATATTTTCGTCACTAAACCTGTCAACTGTGTCAGAAATTCCCCTAAAAAAGTTCATACTACGGCTGCTCTCCTCCTGTGCTATTGAATCCATATACTTCATAAACTTAACGTCAACTTCTCTAAGCTGATCATTTCTTTTATTTTTTTTTAGCCTTTGGAGCTTCACTCGCTTTACCGTTCCCTGAGCTTGATTGATTCGGTTCTGCATTTTCATTATTGAGGCCTGAATCATTAACACGTTCATTCATGCTGGAATCGGTCTTGCGATGTTCGACAATTTTACTTGAAAATAGCATTTCGTCTAAAAAATGTATTTTCTTAATTTGCTTGCTCCAGAGCCAGATTTATATACATTAATTTTTTTGATATATTTTATCCAATTATCTTTCATATTAGTCCACTTCTTCATTACCAGCTATCCTGCAAATAAAAGAATATTATTTTTTAATATTCCAGATACCTAGCATCAGGAGCTACGTTCACAGAGCTACAGAATTGGAATAAAAACCATAAGTTGCATTGCACGTGAAGTTTGTCACTTCATTTGGTCAGAACTTTGCAAAGAATACATGAAAATGCCATCTAAAGAAGATTAGCTACAAATTGCTAACAAATTTCAAGAATCTTCCGACTTCCTGCTGTGCTTAGGAGCGGTCGATGGTAAACACATCAGGGTGATTAAGCCTGTGGACAGTGGTTTGATGTTTTTGAATTACAGACATTATTTTTCTATAGTTTTAATGGCAGTAGTATACAGCGATTACAATTTTATTTTCCGGAAAGGAATGCGATTCCGGTGTTTTCAAAGAAAGCACATTTTGGAAAAATTTCTCGAACAACACATTAAATCTACCCGATGCAACACGCTTGGGTGGAACTGACTACAAATTGCCGTTTGTGTTTGTTGGAGATGAAGCCTTTGCTTTGCACTATCACTTACTTCGTCCTTTTGGAGTTTAATTATTTATCGGCTCACAAGAGCACGATGAGTTGTTGAATGTGGATTTGGTATTTTAGCCAATAAATGGCGTATTTTTTACCGGCCAATGAATGTGTCCCTCGATCTGGCTGTAGATATTGTGAAAGCTTGTTGCATTTTGCAAAATTTTATACATAAAGAGGAAAGGTTTCACTTTAATAATGCGAGTGAAATCGAATCTCCCACTGAATTAGAATCTGAACTAACACAGTTACCTGTCACAAATGCAGTTCGTGGAAGTTGGGTGGCTAATGATGTTCGCAACAAATTTGCACAATATTTTATGTCTCACGAAGGTAGCCTCTCTTATCAAAATAACTATTTTTGTTAGCAAATAATTATGTATGTATATAGGTACGTAACTTACCAAAACTGTTTTCTTCTTCACTACTTAAATCTTCAAATATGGGATTTAAGTGCATAAATATTTCTTTCCAGGAATTATACTTGAACCGCTTGTTTCTATAAGTTTCAATAGTCTTATCCCATATTACAGGTCTTTTTTGAACTAATGCGATTAGTAATTCTTGATTTATGCTCATTTTGCCCGTAAAACAAAGTCAGCGTATGTATTCTGTAACAAAAACCTAAAAACGTACGGTACCACACGCTCGCATAGTGTGCGATACAACACTGACGAAAATCACGCCGTGTGCAGACCTTCACGGGTATCATGTAAAAAACCTACAAAACGTCAAAAAACTTATAAGATGTCAACTTGCAGATTAGGTAGTTTTTTAGGGCGCAAGCAGTCATTCCACGTTTGCTCACTAGGATCGTTGTGAACGTCCATCTATGGAGGAATCACTCAACTAAGCTACACGCATTATTGGTTGCATAGTTTTGTGAGGCTAACTGGTCCTTGTCTGTAGTTTTTATCTCTGAAAAGAAAGTTGGTTGAATAGCAAGATCGCATCTGGATGATTATGTGTATTGGTCTGCATGTGAATAAAATCAGTGATATTTGCTGTGTGAGAAAATCATTACTGAACTAATACTAATATAATTATTTCTTATCTCTCTCATTTTTGAAATGCAGCAAATTTGTATATGTAATTTCCAGAATGGATAAAAAAAAGTGGATGCGCAACTAATTTCTAGCTCTGAATATCAATTAAGTGTGTTTGAGACAAGAGCCCAATGTAATTATCATCAACACATACAACTTACAGCTCCAGTAATGCCAACTCAGAAGCAGATTTTATAAGTATCACATCAGAGCCAAAGATTGATAACAAGCCTCATGACGTTTAGGCAATACGTACAACTAAGTGCTAAGTTAATATCTTGTAGAAAAACCTACATAATGTCAAAAAAAAAAAACAGCATAATGTCAAAAAAAAATCGGCATAATGTCACTTTTCAAGATACGTGATACCCGTGCCGACACGCCGAGGGTCAGGAACGGCGAATACGGCGGCCCTGCCGTGACGTAGCGCCGCTGTGATCGTCAAGAAGCTCCCATAGTGATCCGTAAAACACTGACAACCCTGCCCACGGCGAATCAAGGCCTATTCATACTCAGCCGTGACGTGATAGTGCTGTGACCGGCACGCGATCCACTCGGCGAAACTAAAAAGATTCTTCCTGGAATTTGGAACTATATTTTCCGATTTTTACGGCCGTGTTTTTATGTAATTTCGTGAATATTTTGATATACAGGGTCCGTAAGAAGGAACGCTTGTTTTTTAAATGAGTAGTACAGTCAAAATAAGTATGGGAAAAATACCTTATTATATCAAAATACTCAGAAATACATGCCGTTTTTTTTAATAAAACAAAATTTACGTTCTAAAAACTATGTCGGCCATATGGCGCCCTTGAGCCGAAATGCAGGAATCAAGCCTCTCCCGAAATGAGAACATTGTGTCGGCCAGCATCCGTGCAGGAATTTGGGTTCCTTCTCTTCTTATTTCCTCCTTCAAAGCGACGAGGGTCCGAGGCTTGCTTTGGTAAACTTTTGATTTCAGGTAGTCTCATAAAAAAAATCACACGTTGACAGTCCGGGGAGCGAGGGGGGCATGGTATATCGCGATGACGTGAAATGACACATCCTGGGAATTTTTGCCGAAGAAGTTCCATCAAAGTGCGAGCTATGTGAGATGTTGCCCTGTCGTTTTGGAACCACACTGTTCTGAGACGGACACGTCGACGTCCTGAAAAAGGTTGTTCACCATGTGGATGTAACGCTCTGAGTTCATAGTAGTTGTTTCTCCATCATCCTCAAAAAAATGAGGGCCAATAATCATCGTTGGGCCTACTGCACATCAAACTGTAACTTTAGGGGTATGGTTCCTGGAGACCAATATCGACAATTTTGTTTATTGACCATGTAAATGAAAAGCTGCATCGTCACTCATAAACAACGTCATGCCATTGTTATCCAACTATTCAATCATGAGCTGTGCAAAATTAACACGTGCATAATCCTCTGGCAACAGTCGTTGACAAACTTGGATTTTGTAAGGATGGAACATTAAGTCCTTCTTCAAGATGCGACGTACAGATTAAAAACACTCTGAGCTCACGTCAGCGAGAATCACTAGCACGTCATGGCACTGGCACGTCACGGCTGAGTGTGAATAGACCTTCAACCGTAAATTTTCACGCAGAAAAAACGTGTGTTTACAAGAGGCCTAACACCGACAACCGTGCCTACACATGGCGGACAAAACGTAAATTGTCACGCAGAAAAGGCCGAATACCTAAGAAACGTAAAAAAGTTATGGCCTTATTGCTCCGAGTCAAGATACTGGGGTCACGCAAGACAACAACTGTTGAAATATACTCTACTAGGCTCTTCAAGACCATCCGTAGCGAAATTTTTCCCGAGATCATTCCACAACACTTGAAAAAATGCAAATGAAAATTGACGCCTTGACGGTCGAAATGGCTGCGTCGGTACCCCAGGCTAGATATAAGTTTTGGCAGCTGACCCTGTTATTCTTGTCACCTGGATTGCGGTGTTGTTGGCTTATCGGATGCATATCGGATGCTTTTCCTACCTTTTGCTGTTTTGTTAGAATGTTATAAAAATGTTAAGTTGGCAATGGCAAACTATGTTGGTATTAATGAAATGTCAAGTAGTATGACAATTGGCAATGTGTAGTTACAAGTTACCCTCGAATTAGCCTTGTCTCGTTGTAAGTCTTAAGTTCTTTTTCAAATAAACTTAAGTTAGTTAAACCCTGTGTCCACTTATTTTGAATGCGCCCTGCTAACAAAAAAAAAGAAGCTCCGAATTAAATATTGAGGAATACTAATGGAGAAACAAAATTTAGGGCGTAATAATGTTTGCCGAATAGCTAAAGGTGATTCCGATAAATATTCCCATTGCACGTGCAAGAACAAAACAAGACTGGTGGTGTTTCACAAAAATTTGTATTTTTACGAACTGTTATCAAACTTTTAATTATTCATATCTCGTGTCCACAATTTGTACATAAACATTAAACAATTATTTATATTGTAGATTAGAGCAAGTTATAGTTTCACACTGCAAGTGCAGGAACATAAAAAATTTACCCGATAGGATCGACATGTTCGTCTAAAACCAGATAGAATGTAACCTTGCAAGTCCAGCAATGCCCCAGCAACGCATGCTTTTCTGTTCACGTGACTGTGTTCAACTGTGTCCTGTAACATTTAGCTGAATAAAGATGTACCTATGGTGAACCTCATGGCTGTTATTGTAACATACTGTATAGTATCAGCAAAAACAAATAATCAAGTCTAGAAGACGAGTAAATATAAGATATGTTATCATTATGATTGTTTGTTTTGTACGTTGAGAGATGCCACCGAGGTAGTCGAAACGATGATTAACAGTCCGCTCAAGTTATGTGATCTGATTTGACGGACAGAAAAACCACGAAGTCTGTAAGCATCATGATTCTAATGTGTATCTAATGTAAATAGGTTCAGCAAAGCAGAAGTTTCACTGTTTCTTTTGATTCAACCCTGGAACCTCAAATCCAATTGCTTCTCTGTTTAAGGACCCTTTTCTCTGAATCCTGGGCCTAACCTATGAGCCTATGTATGAAACAATAGGTACCCCACATACATATGTACGTGTGTATGATACGTTATCGTTATCGTGATGGAATTATGTTAATGATCAGATTACAATCTAAACTAGGCCATTACTTGAAGTGTTCTTATCAAGCTCATCGTTGTCAATGCTGTGCTGACTGGGGAAGTATCTAGTAGATCCGTAATGTGTGATAGTTGTTGAGGTGCGAGTGAATTCAGTCCACATTACACTAGTAACAAAAAGGTAAGATTAATTTTTATGAGCTATTATGTTCCGACTCCATCTCCTATAAAGAACAGGTCTAGTACCCCGTTTCCCGGCCAAGCCTACGAATTCAAAGCGCACACGCAGCGAACAAAAGCGGCTCACTACGCCCTCCTACCTTCCTCCTCTCCGGTCCCTGGCCTACAAACTCTCATTCCTTGATCTCGGGCCACGCACTAAAATCGTGTTACTTGTCTTAAATCTTATGTTTCTTACGTTATAACATTCTAACAAAATAGCAAATGTAGAATTATCACAATCCAGGTGACAAGAATAACAAGGTCAGCTGCCAAAACTTGTCTAGCCTGGGGTACCGACAGGCCGTTTCGATCGTCAAGCCGTAAATTTTCCAATTTTCTATGCATTTTTTCAAGTGCAACGATTTCCGTAAAAATTTCGCATCGGATCGTCTTGGAGATCCTAGTAGAGTATATTTCTACAGTTGTCTTGCGTGGCCATGTTTTCTTTACTTGAGCCAACCGCTCTCCAGAAAGGCCAACATATAAATAACTAGTCGGGCACAACTAGTAGATATACTTCATTAGCTGCATATTCAGTAATAATTATGTCACGTAGCAAATATCACTGAATTTATACACATGCAGACTAATTAATGCACATAATCATCCAGATGCCATCTTAAACATTACATACTACTCGGCTTTCTGCAACCAACAAATAGCCAACAATGCATGTCGTTTCGTTGAGTCATTCCTCCATAGATTGATGCTTTTGATGGCGCTCACAGCGATCATGGCGAGCAAACGTGGAATGAAATAAAAACTACCTGGCCTGGAAGATGAGATTTTGTCGTTGTTTCTTTGACGTTTCTTTAGGTTTTTTACATAATCCTCCTGCGGTTCAGCACTCTGCCACTGCTGAATCTTATTACTCCATCTATGAACTATTGACCTTTGAAACAACGGTGTCTCAATTACTCAGCTCAGTAAAAAGTTGAGCTAACTAAAGATCAGCGCCTATCTAACGTTTTCTTGCCGTCCACGTCTGATGGGTCAACACGTTTGATTCCTTAGACAATCTATTTATAGGGATATAACAGTTAAGTTAGAATGCTATAGTTGTAGTCGCCATTCTTGGCGGTTACGTCATCAACGCCATATAAAATAAGTAAACAGATCGAGTCTCTGTACCATGGACGGAGCACTGCGCAAAATAATCTTCAGCGCATCTGCTACTCTCTCCAGTACGCATGAAGTGGGTAACAAGGGACCGCTGTTTTCATTCTGTTCCTGGGAATACTATAATAAATTTAGCACGCGCCGTGGGTCTTCTGCATTGATCGTATTTCCGGGCATTGTACAATTTTATATTGAAGATTGATAACAGGGCAACTCGAATTGCACGCCGATGTCAAGTAGATTGCCACTCTGACAAATATGATTGAAGGGCACTCATAAGTAACGACAAAGTCTTAGAGACGGAGACACATAACTAAAAAACGTATGTCTTTGAGCTTACCGAAAAAACGTTCACACACAGGGATAGGTTGAATGTGCCTTTATGAGAGATATAGATATATATATATATATATATATATATATATATATATATATATATATATAAAGGGATACTGGTAGTCTTAATTTGACCCGCCAAGAACGGTGACTACAACTACATTGATCTGTGATCAGACTTCTTCGTAGAGATACTTTCTTAGCGAATCTGGATTTGGAATATGCACAGATTTTGGTACCCATCAGGGAGAGTCATAGATTATATTTCAGATTCATATTCAAGGGACAGCGTTTCCAAAACAATGCTGTTCCGTTTTGGGCAGATTGTGTTCACAAAGGCAATAATACCTTAAAGAGAAAGATACATTTCTGTCTGCATGTCCTTCTATTGGTTTATACTGATCGAGATTGCCTGGATAATATCCGGTCAACAGTTAACACCCTTTGTTTTAATCAATTATAAAAAATCTGCTTGACCTCCAGTCAAAATTGGGCACTTTTAGGCCAGTATTCAATTGTAACAGTTGACTTGAGTGGAAGCGGTAGACATTACTAAACTTAGTAAGGACAATAATGGACAACAACCAAGGCAGAGTCCGAGACTTTGCGGTATGCATCGGGAAGTTGGTGTCAGCTTGTCTTGCATTTCGTTACAGGCGACTATACACTAAGGAGTGAAGTTCCTTGCCCTGTAACATTCGCAAGGGAATTTTAACGCTACTATGCTACTAACATCTGCACTTAAGGTGTATCTCGGCTGGTGTCCAAAGAAACTATCTGATGCGATCAGCGGTATTGAATGATCTAATTTTCAGTCGTACCATTTCTTGGGATGAGTCATTCGCTTAGCAAGACAAAAGTTTCATTTTTTTGTCACCCGAGAAGATCTCGCATGCCAATCATCTGGAACTACTGGCAGTTTTCTCCGATGGTGAATGTTTTGCTCCCGACTTGAGGGGCTGTTGAACAGTATACCCCAATGGTAATGCGACAACTATATCATAGACCAATAGAATCAGGAACTTCCAGTTTCCACGCCTGGACCAGGTTGCGGGAGAGCTATGGCAGTTGTGTAAAGAATTAAATCTTACTGCGCTCGCGTCAAATATAAAATCTAGGAGTAATACTGATACCGATGAGCTTTTGCTTCAGTAGGTCGTGGAAACGGAATGAGAGCTCCACCTGTCAGCGTCCTGATTTTGGATCATGTCTTCGGTGTGTCTGAAATTTTGTGGACTTAGATTACGGTAAGATCTTTGTCGGGAAGAAATACAGTTTGTTTTTCTTCCTTGAAATTTCTCGCCTTACAGTTTGATAAGAGATTAAGATATAATTGTTTGATTTGATATAAGTCAGCTATCAGTCTTTTACCCAAGATGCTACTAACGATGCAGGCATAAGATGGCTTTTAAAGGGCGTTTAGAGGTTGAGACCATCTCAACGAAAATATAGCCCTACTTAAGATTCTGTGGTTGTTCTCAACCAACTAGAGGGGTTGCTAGTGAGTGACTGCTGTAGATATTCTTATGAGGAAATCAGCAAAACTGCTATTCCTAACCTCTGCCTCTAATTGAAACAGACAACATCCGGATCGGGTTAAATAATATTAAAATTGGGATTTCTCAGTTTTTAAAAGCCTCAGTGCCACTCATGTGGCAACCACTTTTAGTTTTACTGTATTTTACGCCCAAATATCTGTGCAGCCAAAGTATTTATTTATATAGTCTGTTTCAGCAGAGGGTGGTCTAGGTCTGTGACAATTGATAGCCCACAATACATGAAACGTGTCAACCTCTGCACCGGCTATTTCTGAGATACCTCACAAATTTCCTATGCCAAGCAATAACTTTGCTCAAGCGGCATTTGAGATAAACCAAGTCTCCATACAACTATGTTATTACACTACTTGGTTGTTACCATGTAGCAGATGGTATTTTTATTTTTGAATATATTTCGTAGTACATGTTAAAAGTCCTAACTTTAGTTGTTACAATGGAAATGTAAATTTAGTTTACACATTCATAGTATAGAATGTGTGTAGTTGTGTACAATCTTTCGTTTGCTATTGCAGAGAGTTAGTAGTATGCTGTTGCAACTCGTTTTGAACATCTACACCTGTTCTGTTTACGAGACAAGGCCGGAACATAATTACATGATCAAACGAACCTACCAGTAAGCGATATTCGGTCTTGATTATGTGAAGGCCTCGTCGAAGTAAATAGCTCCCTCTCTATGTATCACTTAATTGTTGCAACAACTTAGCCTTGAAGAAAATGAGAGTTGGTAGGCCAGGGGCCGGAGAAGAAGGTGAGAGGGCGCGGTAAGCCACTTCGCTGCGTGCGAGCTTTGAACTCGTGAGTTTGGCCGGCAAAAGGGGTACTACACCTGTTCTATTTACTTCGACGAGGCCTTCACATAATTAAGATCGAACATCATTTAGAGATAAGTTCGTTTGATACTGTAATTAATGTCTTACAAAATGTACCTCAGATATACGTGGTTTCTTAAGGGCAACCATGTTTTCGCCTAGGCGTTAATGAGTCTTGTGCGGCAATAGATTCTAGGGGATAATGGTCTATACCAGAGTTCCCCAAACTTTTTTGTGTCGTAGACCCCTTGCCATGTAAAAACACATGTTAATTTGTACATTTATTAATTGAATTTAAATTAAAACTACTCAAAATAAAATTTTGTATCTGTTATGTAAAATAGACGTAACATTAAATAAACAGGTGTCTGACCAATAAGTGCCTGCATTGGGAATAAGTGCCCGCATAAAAAAAATAAGAGGGATAAAATAAATAAAAAAAGTGAAAATTAATAAAAAAAAAGTTTTTTACTTAAAATAGTACAATAAGCGAGTTCGTTTATTAATTATAACATAAACGTATGTTCTACAATAATTTCACTGATAGTTTGATTAAATTCCGCTTCTTATACGTTTAAGTTATCTAAAAATAGGCAAAAGATTAACGAATTTTAGTGTGTACCGATCCTTGAATTTTCAGAATAATTTAAAAAAAAATATTTTCTATAAAGGGGGGTTCTTTAAAAAATTCAATGCGGGCACTTATTCCCAATGCGGGCATTTATTGGTCAGACACCAATAAACATAAAATAAACTATAAATAAAATAACATAAGCAATAAGTCAATATTTTTAGTGAGAAGGATGAACCTGATGCTTTAATAATAAATTATCAACATTTGGCGTCAATTTTGTAAGGGTTAATCTTAAATCTCCTCGGCTAATGATGTTCAGTCTGTTTCTTTTTTTTTCGTTAGGAGATTGGTAACAGCGCTGAACCCCCTTTCCACTAGGTATGACGATGGAAAGGAAATTAAAAATTTCCTATATGGATTAATTATCCACGGTGGTATTACCATAGTCAAAATATCCTCAAACCTAGATTCAAAATCTGAATAGAGGGCATTTAAATGTTGAACGTAAGTTGAAACGTCGTCTTCCTGGCAGCTTGTCTGTGACAAATTGGGGAACTGAGAAAATTCGCCCCCTCCAATATTTTGCTTCATTAGTTTAACTCTGGCAAGAAACGCTGATAAAATAGACTTTGTTATAATCAAATTTAAACTGTCGCTTTGTAATTGCAAATTAACCATATTAAATTTTGTAAACAAATCTGTTAAATAGGCGATGTCTGTTTTCCTCTTCATTAAATTTTCTTTTAAAACTTTATCTTTAGTATCCAGAAATTCTAAAATAGTCTCAAAAAGTGCAAAAAATCTTGTCAAACATAAGCCTTTCGACAGCCAGCGTACTTCAGTGTGAAGGAGTAATTGATGAAAGTGTTCGTCATTTTCTTCTCATAACTGCGCAAATAACCGCGTATTCAACGCGTTGCTTCGGATTCGGTTTACTGCATCAATGACTAAATGAAGTGATTCATGCAATCTAACACTCAAATCTTTAGCAACTAAAAGTTGTCGATGGATAACGCAATGTATTGCTAACACCCCTGACACATTTTGTTTTAAATAGCTTATAAATCCACGATAACGTCCAACCATGGCAGGTGCTCCATCTGTAGCAACTGATATTATATTTGATAAAGGAATTGCTTTTTCAATGAAGTAATCCTTCAAAACATGAAATATTGATTCACCTTTAGTGTCGGTTATCAAAGTTCTTGCGAAGAGCAGTTCTTCGTAGATTTCTTGATTCATAATAAAACGAATATATGCCAATAATAATGCTGCATTATCAGGTAAAGTTGACTCGTCCAGTTGTATAGAGAAATGGGTCGTTTGCAAATAATTACATAAGAAGCTTTCAATATCAGAACTCATTTCATCAATACGTCTTTCAACAGTATTGTTGCTTAAGGGAATTCTTTTAATGATATCAGATGCAGGTTTGTGTAAAACAGTTTTTCAAACCTCTTCAACGGCTGGTAAAATTAACTTCTCTCCGATAGTATGCGGTTTTCCAGATTTTGCTATAAGGAACGAGATATTGTAAGACGCCCGCAAACCATCATCATTTCTTTGTGACGTCGAAGCGAACATTCTGTCGAGTGTAGGTCTCTTCTGAAATTTATCTTTGTAATGTGTTTGAAAGTATTTCAAATCTTTCCCTGTTTTATCAGGGTGGCATCTTCTCAGATGATCTTGCAGTTTAGATGGTTTCATAGCGTCATTGCCCAAATCTTTGTTGCATAAAAGGCACATAGGCGATTGTTTGTCCGGCAATGATGGAATGAAGCCAAATTTCAAATAATCAACACTGTACTGTCTACATTTCTTTTTTGATTCGGACATGGCGTCAGTCATCTGTGGGCAAAATTAAATTATTTAAATAAGACAGAAAGTCCAGCAGCTGTATATTAAAAATATTTTTTGATTTTTCCGAAAACATTCCATAATTCGAGCATCTTCTTGCAACAATTAGCTCGAATTAGCTCGAGCTACGAATTTATCTATCTTTGCTAACTACGAGTACAAAACTAAAATTTAATAAAAAATAATGTACTTACTTTTCTCCAGCACTCCCAAACAAAATAACACTGCCTCACTATAATTTGTGTGATATACTATCTGTTTATATTTTTTTAAATATTTTCTTAGCACTTTCCTTTTCAAGATTCAGGAAACGAATAAACGTATTTGTCCCACATTCGTATTTATAGAGTGACGAAGTTAGTGCAAGGTAGCGAAGCTCTGAGACTGCGACTCTCAGGTTTTTACAAGTTCAAAATGTAATGCGACCACAAAGCGAATACCAACATCCTACAACTTACACAATTTTATAAACACATATAATACATTTTTTACTTCATGGGTACTTTCATAAATATATATATATATATTTTGATATTATAAGATAGTATGATGTAAGTAAATAGGTACTATCAGTGTATGTGTTGAGATCCGCTATCGTGGACCCCCATATTCATTTCATGGAACCCCAAATTTTTTTTCGCCGACGTAGACCCCTTGCAGGTTGTCATAGACCCCTAGGGGTCGATATAGACCACTTTGGGAATCAATGGTCTTCTGGTTCTTCTTGGTTTTAAAAAGTTATTAGCGTTTGTGCAGGAGAATGTAACAAGATGACGTTTCTTCTCAGCATATCCGACACAGTGATGAACATTAAGCACTCAGTTAAGCATCATTTGCATCATATTGCAACAGTTATAGTCTGGGGTGTAAATACATATTGTGCTGTTGCCTCTAGATTCCATTAGAGAAGGTATGACGACACAAAGGTATATCCAGGAAATACTATAGCTTAATCTTTAAACAGTTCTCCAATAGCTTACAAGCCCATTTTATAGACACTCATGCAAATCGTAAGACTCGTCATGCAATACATACATTATACATATAGTGTTTGTGGTAACCAATGCTTTTTCGCTAATCAAGCCGGAAGACTATAATGTCCACAGATATTCAGTTTTATCAAGCAGGTTTAGAATTTGGAGATGGACGATAATTTAAAAGAAGTTACAGTAGACGCATCAATTATAAAAAAGAAAAAGAAAAAATGTTCAAAAAATGGCTATTAATGGAGTCGGAGGTCTCGCATATCAAAAATACGTATGAATTAAGAAAGATACAGTGAATTACTGATAATTGTTACCCAACAAATAAAGAAACGGGATACAAGAATCAGAAAAGCAATCACACCGCAGAAGGGATACATTGCGATTTTTAGTAACAGCCAGAAATTACGAGGACTTGAAGTATACTTTACTTGTGTCATACAGACTGAAAGTTTGTGACATATTATATCAAAGACTTGTAGCCTCTGTTCAACAGTTTGAAAAAATAGCGTCTAGTAATGGAGTTCGTAAGGGATTCGTTTGGCATAGGTTAGCTCTTCTGAGAAAAAAGTTAGCTACAAACATGTATAGCATAAAATTAAATGACACTCCTCCTGCCTGGGAGAGAAATTCCTGCAATCGCACTTGGCCTTCACTATGCACAGTGTATATAAGCGATTCCCGATTGGACGTACGATGCTAGTCCATCGAGGTACCACTTATCGACAAGCAATTGTTGGTTAGATAGATTATTTTATCACAGTTTTAAGGATAAATGTACGACATCTATGATGAGTGAAATATGCCTAATATGGACGTAGAATAACTGGGATACGATTTGCATGGGTGTCTATGGGTTCTTTTACAAAATAACGATCGTCCCCATATGGCCAGAGCTACAATAAACTACCTCAATATCGCTAAAGTCAGACTCCAAGATCTCGAGACCTTTCGCCCATTGAACATGGTGTGGAATACCTCATCCTACACAAGCGCTAACCGCTTTTTAGAACCAAGCACAACTAGATGGGAATGAAATATTTTAAGAAGATATGAGGCTATCAGAGCAAGGGTGGTCCAAGTCACAAATATACAAAATTGAGTTTAATGCAAAAATAATTAGTTCTCAAGGTATATTTTAGGATAAAAGTGGCGTATGCCATCTTCGCCAACATTTCAAAAGATGGCACCACCTAATGTGTTTTTGCATTGCATTAAAGAGTTACAACTAGAGAACAGCACCGGTCTAAGCCACAAATATTGAGGAAAAGGATAGGACTAATTGAAAAACAAAAGAAATATCTCAAAGACATCTCTGTGCAAGATAGCTGGGAAACCCTTGTTAAGACAGCAAGAAGAAGGTCCCTTTTAAAGTTCTTCAGATGACAGCCAAAGATTTTCACACGACTGTTATTTTAGAGAAGAATGTAACAAATCGAAAAATTTCCGAAAATAAATTAAAAGTAGAATGGATGAAAATCCAGTGGATGCTCTTTAAAAAGTCGGATCCATTTAAAATCTATTTTCCATACTCAAATCAAGATTTTGCTCCATTTGATACAGTTAACGTGTCTACAAGGAACTCTTCTAACAGTTTTGAAGAGCCGAATCTGTTATATCCAAAAGGACGTAAAGTTGACATCAAAAAGAAAAAGGGCCTATTGGCTCTCATATAATTTATTCCTCCTATTTATCACGAGTTTTATAAAAAACCTGAAAACAACTCATGATCAATGCGAGAATTAGTTATTATATCTTTTGTTAAGAGACTAATAAAAATAATGTTTAAATAACATTTAAAATACGACATCTTATAAAAATTGTTGCAGTGTAAAAAATTAAATTAAAACAAAAAATATTTACAAAGAAACAAAAAAGCGAAAATATAAATTGTACATTTCTCAAAACTATTTTGGGCTTAGGTGACTCTTGCTCTGATAGCCTCATATAAACTACCTCATCAGAAGTATACCCGGACGACTGCACGAATGTATACGACATTGAGGTGGCCCAACACATTGCTTGTGTCTGACTGTATACAAAATTTAATTAAGATAAAATAACTTGCACTGGTTATTCTATTTTCTTTGTCACTGAGTATATCTGTTTTAATGACGTGCCAGGTATACGTATTCTCTTTTGAGTGGCAAATCTGCAGGTCGCTTCGGTAATTCATCAAAATCCACTATCATACTACGTGCATGGGTTATTCAAATATTTACAAGTAGCTAATATGTTCAAATTATAAAGACACTGTTACGTATGTACGTATGGGTATTTACTTAGATATACGGCAGCTTAAGTTGAAAAAAATGTTATCTCATGTCCATTGTTAATGCAATTGGTGATGAAATATGCTTATGCCAAACAAGTTCTGCTGACAATTGAATTATATCTACATTGGTTTGTTATCCCGACACATCGCCCGTTTGCTATTCCTTATAGATTTAGAGTAAGTAATCCAATACAGATGGGATACGCTAAGATCAAACCTCTTGTTTTTGCTGTGTTCGGCCTTTGATTAACGTATTCTACCTGACACAGCCAACCTAATGCTATGTTATCTCAGCTATCTTTCTACTCTACGCAATAATTAGAAGCGTACTTTGAAAAGTTTAGTGGTGCCATCAATGAGACACTAACCTTTTAAAAGTAGATTTCTGAATAAAACTGTAAGTCTACGAAATATTTCAGACATTTTTGCATGCGAGTTCAACCCTGTAGCACACGAAATTTTTCCAGAAGGTTCACAAGTCTGGTTTGTGTGACTCAGCACGACGGCCCTTAAGCCTGTTTACGTTATACATACCATGCCTCCTCATGGCCGCTTGCTCCCAGGATAAACTTTCTTAAAAACGCAGACGGGTGTCGCATCTTAGTTCAAAAAGGGCGCGAAAGTGAAGCTTATTGCAGTGTCGCTGTGCTACTGGGTGTAGTGTTTTGGTTACCTGAAGGATGAGCAACATTGAGTATTTTAATTTATTCAGCTGTACTGCATTTTTTGATCGAAGCAGCGGCGCAGGCAGAAGCCTAAATGCCGGAGCACCGCGGCTGCTATGATGATCCCAAAGAAATTTTGTTAATACTATTTTTGAACCTCCTAAGGTTAGTAGAAAAGTTTCCTCTTCTAGATTGTTTTACAATTTCGAAACCCTCGGAACAAAAGAGCGGTCGTATCGGCCAGTTCCGTATGTACGAAGTTCAACACGGTTAGGATGGGATAAGGTCCTCGGTGATCTGGACTTTGGACCAGCCGAAATGAATGGCTCTTTGGCAGAACTCGGACATCCATCAAAACCGGATGAGCGCTAGGACGCTTTTAATTTGTCAAAGTACAGTACTGTGTTTTGGAAGCATTCAACTGTACGAGATTATTGCGTCCCCAAGCAGTGATAGCCTCCA